CACGTTCCTATGATTAACCCTCGAAAGAATGACAACTTCATTGATGAATTCCTCGATTTTGCTTTCATCTACCCGGACAGATTTCTTAACTGCAACGATCCTGCCATCTGCTAACATGCCCTTATACACTGTTCCTTGACCTCCTCGACCTAGGATCCGGTTTTCGTTGAAGCGATCAGTGGCCTTTTCCAGTTCCTTTGCAGTAAAAAGCTTTGTTCTTTCAATAACGTCGACGTCTTCATTGGATGATGATAGTTGTTGCTGCAATAACAAGCCACCATTTTGTTTGAAAAACTTTGCTCTAATTCTCTTTGCCCTTCTCTTCTTCAGCACTTTGTACAAGAAAAAGATACATAATACAAAGACTAGTATGCCTGCACTTATTATTATGCCTGTCACAAATTTTAGTATTAGTCACACAACATCATTTCCTCTTGTAGAAACAATCACCTTGTTTGATGGTAAATCGAAACTGGAATCAAAATAAATAAATAAGTACGAGTCAGGGACGGAGTCAGAAATTCTGTTGAGGAGGGGCGAAACAGTACAGACGGATTCAGAAATTTTTTTTCAGAAAAAGCGAAACATTAAAACAAAAGAGATAATTTAAAAATAAATAAATAAATTACCTAAGAAATATAATTGTAAATATTGTTTGATATAGACGAAAAATAAAACACATCGAAACTTTATAAAAATATTCATAACAAAATATGAAACATAATTAATAAAATAATTTGAATAGAAAACACATTATAAATTACACATCTTATTATAGAGTGTGTGTGTAACATTAAAAAAGAATTGTAAACTATGTTGATGCTAAGATTGGAACCCTTAACCTCACTATTACCAAAAATGTGTTTTACCACCTAATCCAACTTACTTCTTATTAACATTTTATAGTTTTTTTATACTAATACTAAAACATGTACTATATATACATATATACATACAAATACTATATATGGGGTGGGGGTGGGGTGAGGGGGGGCGGCCCCCTCTCCCTCCGTCCCTGGTACAAGTACAACATTTGAAAATATTTTATTAAAAAAAAAAATGACGAAGAAACTCACAATCACTATGCTAGAGAGGTTGAAAATATGTTTTATAACTTTGATGATTAGTAATAATGAGAGAGGAACAATTTCTTACTTCCGAATATGGATATCTTCCGGGAGGTAATAGGGTCGGGTCCGCAACCGGCACACGCTGATCATTTAGAAATGGTATTAGCTACAATTTAATGATATGTCTATATATTAAAAATCAATCAAAGTAAAATAAACTACCAAAAAAAAAAATCCATTTTTATTAGTGATATAAACGAAAGTTAAACACTAAAAACATTAATATGTGGGTTTACGAAAAAAACATTAATGTGTCACTAAAGCTATTAGGCATTTTAGTCACAATACTAGCAATTATGATACTTGTGATCAGTGTTGCAAAAATCGCGCCTAGGCGCCAATTAGGCGGTCGGCCACCTAGGCGCCGATTAATCGCTCTAGACACTCTAGGCGGTCCCCAGGCGTCTAGCGATTTTTTCAACCTTGCTTGTGATAATTATTTACTCTCTCTCTCTCGGAGTGAGTGAGTGATGATCAAAATACATTTTAATTTTACTTTATAGTGACAGCATTATTGTCACAATAATTTGAGGTATTTCTAATGAAATTTGATGACTCAAAAAATATTAATTAGTGACAATCAAACTCAAAACATACTGTCATTGTGTTAATTAATACTATCATCACAATAATTTTACTTACATGTGACAAAATTTAACGATTCCAAAATTATTATTTAGTGATTAATTATTTTTGTTGGTGAAGATTATTTAGTGATTAATAAAACAACAATATGTCAATTTTATTGTGACACTATAGTGACAGCATCTTTATCAAAAAAATAATTAACAACTTTGTACCACTAAGATAATTGATTTTAATATTATGACTTTTTTTTTATAGGGGAATATTATGACTAAAATAATTGAAATAAGAATTATATATTATTATGTGTTAAGTTTTAGTATACCTTGGCATCCATGAGCAATGTATGGGTTTCCCTCCTCCCCTGTTGGGCAGTCACATCGGAAGTTAGATACAGACGTGCCGTCGGCCAGCTGAACGGCAGCATTATCGGAGGTGCGGCAGTTGGTGACCGCCGGAAAGTCCTGAGCTCGAACCGTCCAAATCCATACAACGGGGGCATATTCCAAAAACAATGAGGTACTCTGTTTAGGAATCCATCTCTGATCAATCAAAAAAGCGGAATTACATCTCTTGAGATTATCGTTGCTGCCGTCGCTCTGGATTCCCGAATTCGTGAAATTGGCGGTGTAGGAGGTGAGATCGAAGGGGACGGGAGTTTCGCAACAGTCGATGCCGTAGCATCCGGCGAATCCGGAGCTGATGTTGGCGCCGCAAATGGCGGTGCAGCCGGCGACGACGGTGGAGTTCTGAGTGAACAGGGAGTTGCCGCATCCGGCGAACAGGAATTTGTTGCGCGATTTGGAGTAGTAGAAAGGGGAGCCGGAGAGATCTGTGCCGTTGGTGATGGCGTTCCGACCCGCGGAATCGTCGCAGAAATTCACAACGGATTTTAGAGTCGTGATGGTTTGATTTTCCAGCGAAACCGCCACCACTTCTCCTTGGAGCTCGATTTGGACGAATGAGTTTAGGTATGCTTTGGGAGGCGCGCTGCTGTTATCGCAGTTTACTAAGAACCATGGATTGAGAGCGCAGCCCTCGCCGATTCCGAAAGGAAACGGAATTGAGACGTTTCCGCACCGCTGTTCGCAGCGCGGCTTTGCGAGTGACGGCGCCGCTGCTGCCGACGGGAACAGCGGCGGCACGTGAAAGAAGAGGAAAGCGAAAAGCAGCAGGCGGCGGAAGATCATTTCCGGCGAGTTAGTTCTTCGTTAATGAAGCTTGACTTGATCAATGATCAGTTTCATCGCCTGAGTGAATATAATAAATTCAGTGGGAATTGAAGAAATCAAAGTCTACATATGCATGTCATGGGACGGCTGTTTGACTAGGACATCTTATTCTTATCAATAATAATTAATTAGAGGCTAGTGATCCAAACTTTGTCCACGTTACTGTTTTTTGAAATACAAGTTTATGTTTCAAATTTTCTAACTAATAGCTAGATTTATAAATCTATCCATGTCAATTAGGGGTTAGCGAAGAGAGCTTTCGACAAACTACTCGTAAGCATTCGTTTATGTTCGTTTGGTAAGGTAAACGAACCATTAACAAACAAAAATTAGTACTTGGTTAATAAACGAACAGAGCTTGAACATTTATATGTTCGTTTGCTAAGAGATCGTGAACAAGCTCGTTTGTGTTCGTTTAATAATGTTTGTGAACAAGCCCGTATGTGTTCGTTTAATAATGTTCGTGAACAAGTTCGTTTGTGTTCGTTTAATAATGTCCATGAACAAGCTCGTTTAGTATTTGTTTAATAATGTTCGCGAACATGAACGTAGATTATTTATTGTTCACGAACAAATTGTGATCATGAGCATGTGGTGTTTGGTTATTAAAGGTTCACGAACGTGCTCATGAACGTAAACCAACATGTTCGTGAACGTATTTGTTAACGAACATGTTTGTGAACATGTTTTTTAACGTTAACACAAACGAACATGAATACAAACACCACAAAATTCTTAACAAACGTACACGAACAACATGTGTTCGTTTATGTTCGGTTCATTAAGAGCCCTAATGTCAATCATTTATATATAAACCAATTATAAAATTACTTTTTTCTTTTCCATACGTGAAAAAATACGAAAATGTTGGAGCATCTTTATTTGTTTGATTTTTACATTTTATTCATTTCTCAAAAAAATATTTTAAAGTCTGGTGTTTGGCAGAAAGATTAAAAAAAAAATCATTTTTTCTTTTTGATTTATTTTCCTTACAATGAACATATTATTTGGTATTTAAAAAATATATTATTATTATCATCATTATCATTAGTGGTGGTGGTGATAATAATGGAGGTGGTGAGGGCGGTGGTAATAATAATCAGGAAACTAACTTGAAGAGAGATGAGAGAAACTAGAAATAAACAATCTAGAAAATATATTCTCACTAAAAATCTAAGAAGACATTTTTCACCAAATTAAAAAATATCTTTCAACTAAAAATCAAGGAAAACACTTTCTTTGACCATTAATATTTTCCTTTAAATCTTATTTTCTATGAACACCCAACAAATAAAAAATAAAAAATAATAAAAAAACTGAAAAATAACTTCTAAAAATAAATTTTTCGAATTTCTAAACAGACTCTAAATAGAAGAAATAGACATTACCTAAAGAGTTCAACTACATGTATTTCTAAATTTTACTTTTTCACTTTTAGCAACTAAAGATATGATATTTTCATTGGAAAATATTATATGTACTCTTATTTTATACTCCCAACTTTTACTCCCACATACAAAATTTTGATGTAGACATTTGTATTGGGACCCATCTAAAAAAAGTAGTTTATCCGTGTCCGCCACATCAAGGAGTAAAATTTAGGAAGTATAATTTGAGAATACATGTAGACATGTAGTAGAACTCATTTTCATTATGTGGGCCCCATAAAAATAGTTTACATCAAAATTCCCGAGAAAAATAGAAACTGAAAGTAAAAAGTGGAAGTTCATATAGTACTTTTCTTATCTAAATATCTTGTAAACCCATAAATATTCTTAATACTATTCCGCTTGAACTAATGTGTTGGTCAATGACCATGTTAAGTACCGCCATTTTTTTAGATGACGAGAAAATTTTCACAATATTTTTAAGTGTGAGTAAATTTTGTCTTGTAATTTAAGTCCTTCGAAGATTTTTTTTTTAAAAAAAAAAAGTAAATAATTTTAAATTATATATAATTAATTTACTCAAATTAAGAAAATAAAGATTTTAACTAAACTTTGTAGTTACAAATTTGAATCCCTTGTCATCTTGGGCAGGGAGTACTGCCCATGTGCCCATTAACCCCATTTTCAATCCAGAAGCTGGGAGCTGCCCAGACTGAGATTCCACTTTCCCTTTCTTGAACAATACCTATAAGAAATCCTCAAGTACACTCTACCTATTTGACCAAACTTTCAGGGTGGAATATTCCTTGCACCTTGCCCAAATCCTGTACTCTAATATTATAAATTTCTTATAAAAGTTGGTTTCTTTTTCTGGGAGATTTGAGATTGGAACTTCATCCCAATCTAAAAGAATGGGCTACTTGAAGCTCGGATTTTTATGCTTGGGATTGGGCTTGATCTTGAGTTTTTCTCTGTTGTGTGATGCTGGGGTGACCAGTAGCTATGCGAGGAAGAATGGGTTGAGCTCAGAATCCTCAGATATTGATGATATGCCTTTGGATAGTGATGTCTTCACAGCCCCTCCTGGTTACAATGCCCCCCAGCAGGTTCTCTCCTGCTTCCCTAATTGCTGTTGCTTTTTTTTTTTTCTTTCAAGATTTTGTTTTTGTTGTGATTTTATCTGGATTTCAGCATTTCTTCATAGTTATCTGCTTTAATCTCCTTTGCTGTTGGTTTCTTTAACTTGAACTTCAATCTGGCAAAAGATGTTTGTGGTTTTGCATAAGAAATTGGTTGGCTTGAGGTTTTTTTTTTTTTTGTTTGAGTGATGAGAAACCCGCAGTCACTATCCGAGGGTGTGAGGGTAAACCCGCCTTGTGATCCTAGCCGGTCGGTCTGAGGGTGTGTACCGGGTAAAATCCGGTCTTTTGACCCTACCCAGCAAAGGACTAGTTGGCTTGAGGGTTTGAGCATTAGAGAAGAGGATTTCTTGAAGTAAATAGTGTTTAAGATCTTTCTGATATATCTTAGGAATGTCTTTCTGTCAAAATATTGGTTTTAGTTGAAATGAATTTGGTTTTGAAGGTCCATATAACACAAGGGGATTATGAAGGGAAAGGTGTGATTATCTCTTGGGTTACACCCGAAGAGCCTGGCTCGAAAACGGTGGTTTATTGGGCCGAGAATAGCAGTGTCAAGAGGCGTGCAGATGGCGTTGTCGTGACCTACAAGTTTTATAATTACACATCCGGCTATATTCATCACTGCACCATCAAGGGTTTAGAGGTGTGTAGCGGTTTCTCCTTAAATGATTGCTCAATATATACCCGAATTGAAAAGATTTACAAGTGTGTAAAGTGTGTCATTTCCTCTTGTTTCTGCAGTACGATACAAAATACTATTATGAACTAGGGGTCGGGGATGCAAAACGACAGTTTTGGTTTGTTACTCCTCCCAAACCTGGACCGGATGTTCCCTATACATTTGGTTTAATAGGTATTATCTTTTTCTGTATCTTGATGTCTCTGCTTATGAAAGTGGCATTTGCCTCGGTTAACTCTGAACCGCTATATTGATGTTATATGAGCAGGGGATCTCGGTCAGACTTATGATTCCAACGCCACATTGACACATTACGAATTGAACCCTGTAAAAGGACAATCGTTGTTGTTTGTTGGTGACCTTTCGTATGCAGATAGGTACCCGAATCACGATAACAACAGATGGGATACGTGGGGAAGGTTTGTGGAGAGAAGTACTGCATATCAACCGTGGATTTGGACTGCTGGAAATCACGAAATTGATTTTGTTCCCGATATTGTAAGGATCGAAACTTTTTCTCTCAGTCATCATGTAACACGCTTAGAATTGTAACTATTTTGTTTCTATTTTAGGGTGAAACCGTGCCGTTCAAACCTTTCACGCATCGGTATTTTATGCCATTTGAATCGTCGGGGAGTACTTCTCCTCTTTGGTACTCGATAAAAAGAGCTTCAGCGCATATCATTGTCATGTCTTCTTACTCGGCTTATGGTAAGAATTGATAGCATTAACGGCTAATAAGTATCATCATAATGTTTATTGGATAGTACTATCGTTGAGGATATCTTGTAAGTTTGAATGTCTCGTTTTGTAGGTACATACACTCCTCAGTGGAAATGGTTGCAAGGCGAACTACCTAAAGTTAACAGAAGCGAGACGCCATGGCTAATCGTGCTCATGCATAGCCCGATGTATAGTAGCTATGTGCATCACTATATGGAAGGGGAAACCATGCGAGTGCTATATGAACCCTGGTTCGTGCAGTACAAAGTCGATGTTGTTTTTGCTGGTCACGTTCACGCATACGAACGATCTGTAAGTATAGCTCGCCAACTTATCATTTAAGTAATCTATAGTTTCGTTACTGGTTTACGGTTAAAACTGAAAGAACATTGTCACCTATTAGACAAATCCAAGTGAGAAATAAAGGAAAAATAGACGAGACTTTGGTTGATGCCATCTTATGTTTGCTTAACAGGAACGTGTATCAAATATCGCCTACAACATTGTAAACGGGTTGTGCAGTCCAAAGAATGACAACTCTGCCCCCGTTTATATCACCATAGGAGACGGGGGGAATTCAGAAGGATTAGTCACCGAGTATGTTGTGATATATCAATATATATATTCTTAAACTCTAATCATTTGTAAGTCTTAGCTCTTAGCGTGCGGTTTTGAAATGTAGGATGACACAGCCACAACCAAGTTACTCTGCTTACCGAGAAGCCAGCTTTGGCCATGGCATCTTCGATATCAAGAACAGGACTCACGCGCATTTTGGTTGGCATCGCAATCAAGATGGGTTGGCGGTTGAAGGTGACTCGCTTTGGTTTATTAACCGGTATTGGATGTCGAAGGAAGAGGCATCTGTATCTGCAGTGTGAAAATCTGCAGTTGAACTAAGTTGTTTGTTATGTAGATTATGAACTTTCTTTACCAAATGCATAATAATGTTCTGTTTCTGTAGCTTTCTCTGGTGAAACCATTTGTTCCACTACAATGAAGGTGCATAATGTAATTTACCAAAAGTTATACACAATATAGGTCACAACTGGGGTAACCCAAGCCAAGATGGCTTGTAATCACTAGGTCACGAGTTCGAATCCTTACTCCCTTAGTTTGAGCCGATCAGCTATGGATAATTTAGGTTGATTCACTTCCTTGTGGTCCTTTACCAGCTAGGGTCACAAGGCGGGATTTACCTACACCTGAAAGGGTTGTGGGGTTTCCCTCGCCACATAGATACATACATCACATACACACCATGAATTGTAGATAAGATCCACTCATCACATTGCAATACACACCATGAATTGTAGCAAAGGATTGTGAATGACATTAGAGGAATGAATAGATTCTTTGGCTAAAGGTAAAAAACATGCTTAGTACTGAGAGCAGAGAAGAATAGACCTAAAATTGGCAACAATATTTCAAGTAAAGCTAAGTATATCACAACTAACCAAAGCTCGATATGCACCAAAAGCGTGGCAACAGTTCTTTGAAGTTAGCAAAGGAGCAAAGCGGGCTGAAGTTCACGATTCCAGTAAGGCTATGAACTCGAAACGTTTGGTATGGCTAGCTCTTGAGGAAGTCCTTCAATGAAAAGGGCAGATTGCCCTCCTACAAATTGGCAAAACACAATTACCACTTCTTAGATATCTATGCTAAAGTAAATTTTGAAGGAAATATTACCCTTAAACTTCAGATATGGATCAGTCAATTGTACGCCAAATCGAAACTTTACAAATTAGTTATCAAACAAGATTCACAGCTTCTCTTAGTTCTTCTCTCTAAAGATTAGTTCACAGAAATACAAATTTCCGGGCAGTTATTCATTATATAGGGTTTACGATGGTATATGAGCATCTCCCTCGTGTCATCATTTACCTAAATAAGTTGTCACCGTTCCATTTATTCATTTTCTTAATTAGCAAATGATAGCATGCCACATCGTGAGGGCTCACGAAGCAAGCATGGTTTTCATGATATAAACCTCACTTCCACAGGCCGTGTAATGACAAAGTCTAAACTTCCATATAATAATCAGCGAGAATAGATGATATGAAAGGTTAAGGATCAAACCTTGCCAGGTTCTTGGCTTAAGGATTGTCGTACTACTGTTATCTGCTGAATTAACCTTTCCACTGCTGAATAGCTGGGGAGGTTCGCGTGTGCTGCAATCACCATGACATGACAAGAAAAGAGCACATGAATAGCATTCTTTAGGGGAAAGAGGCAAAATGAACGGGAAAAATGACAAAGAAAGAGGAAACCGAACCAAGGATTGCCCTATTCAAACTGTCTGCAACCTTCTGTCGATATTCCAAGCTGAGTAGGTGAAACATGGGCGACTTTTCTGGTTCCTCATAGGCCAACAGAGCCATGAAGTCCTGCAGCAACAGATGCGTTGTCTTAAAAATATTTAAGGAACAAGTGGAGGAGCTTAAAATAATCTCTAGAGAATATACATACTTCAAGCTTTTCAACGTAACTCTGGACCTTCCCGAAAGGAGCTAGCTTTGTCTGAGCAAATTCAAGTGCTTCTGTGCTGCAAAGAAAGATATAATCAGTCTAAAGAAGTAAATCCACCTATCTGGGAAAGAGCAGTCATCCCGCTCACCATTTTCTCGTGCATACTAGTTCAACAAAATGAAGGCTCAATAGATCAAAATGCAGATCCTTGTTTTTCTCCAGTAAGTCCGGTGCAAGTTGTTCTGTTTGTTCAATGGCCTTCAGAACATTACCCTCTAATGTAAAATTGAATATTCCTGAAAACAAATTTTTGATAAAAATGACAAATCAAGCATCTGTAGCAGGACAAAGTAAGATGTGCATAAACATCATCATCATGTGGCATAGAAGACCTAAACGAGTATTTACGGGAATTGAATCATAGCGAATGCGCGACTTTATTTCCTTAAATACCGCCACATTTTCGAGAGGCAGGGTGCTGGACTGGCACTTCAGGCCTCCGCCCAACAATCCCCCTAGCCACCAAGTGCTAGACTTGGCCCTTCAATGGCCTCCGCCCAACAAATATCTATCTCACTTTTCACTAATGGCGATTCTCAGAACAAATTCCGTGCAAATATAGTTTTTACTGTCATGACTTAGACATAATAACTAGGAAACCTTATCCCTCAACTTTGGTGATGAACAATAATCAAAGATTCAAAGTTCTCTATGTCTCATTTCAGCCAGTGCCATATAACTAGCATCATCTAAGGAGTTATCATTCCACATATGGGTGTAAGTGAATGCGACCATTCTGTGTTAAATACTACAAACATTAGTTAGTATAGGGCAGCAGCCAGCAAGTCGTTTTAAGTTGCATAATGCAGAAAAAATACAATGAGCCAATGTGGAATATATATTGTAGTTTCTCCCACAAAAGGGAAGCACAACACGAGACTAGATTCGTTGATGAGACTAACACTGTGAAACTCTAATGCAGATAAAAAAAACGACAGACATCATTCGAGGTTCAAGAAATAAAGCAATTATTGTATCAAAAAGATATATGACCTACTTTTTCTTTTCTCCATATCCTCAAGACAATAATCAGGCTGCTTCATGCCCGTGCTGGCAATAAATGATTCCACGGTGTCTTTGAAGCAATTGTGCACAAGATACGACAGAACAATGTTGTGGACATCACTGTCACTGACATCCTACAGAAGTAGTACAACAGATAAAAATAGTACCGGTGAAATTCAAGCTAAATCCAGAAACATTATGCTAAAAAGCACTTCAAAACTCGGGACCACCATAAAAAAGTTTAGCACTCCACATAATCCACCGATATCAGATCCCTTGATCTCTTGCTAAATGTAATGGCAAATGAACCTTTGATCATATACTTAACTCCTTACCTATCAAGGCACAAGTATCCCGTCACCAATCAGTCCTTAGTAGGAACTAGGAAGTACTAAGTTAATAAAAACAATTCTCTCTAACAATATAACATAGTGAACAATTCTATAAGCTAATTAAACCTTAATCTGAGCAGTAAAGATTAATCCATTATCTGTGTCTAGAAAGACAGAGGCCCTGTTTGGTAAAATAGTTAGCCTATCAAGCCAATTTTGGTTTATTTGACCACTATTAGTTGTTTGACTTGGTTAAACAATCAATATGAGTGTTTGATTAATTAGTTTTCTGTAACAACTTATTTTTCCAAAATGCTAAAATTCAAAAAGCTACTCAAAGTAGTTTTTTCCATCGGCCCTTTGAGAAAGTCATTTTCCATATAATCAACTACCAGCTAACAACTAATTTACCAAACGTATTTCTACAATCAGCTAATGCTATACTAGTCAAACCACTAACCCAATTAGCTAACGGCCATTTCCCAAACACCCCCAAAAACTATGCTTCTATAAACATCTAAAACTGTCTGGTGATCTAGCAATACACCAAATCATTGCCTTAAACAACCACTTTAACTTCCATCATCATCAAAAAAACAAACAAAATCCACTCAATTTCTGTTGCACTAAAAGCTCCATGCTAAACTTCCACAATAAAAAGAATTGAACACAAACAACGCCATAGCTACAGACACAATACCTCATCCCAAAAACGGTCCATTCAAAATCCCAATTCCAATTGAAATCAGAACTAGAAACCCAGCAAACACAACACTAAAACGCATAAACTTTGCAAGGAAAATCCAAACAAAAATTCGCAACCAGTCGATTAAAGCTAAGCTGGAGAGACCTATCCTGATCAGAAAATACATACAATGGTTTCGTACTGTCGGGGATCCACATCCATCATCAACCGACAAAGTGTTTGTTTGTTTGTTTGCCCTGAAAATTCCTCTCCTCCGCCGAAGATTCGGTCGGGTCGCGGCGAGAATATTCGAGGGAGAAGATGATTGTGAAGGCGTAACGATTGAAGAGTGATTGTGAGACTGCTTTCTACTGTTTTGGAGAGTGATGGCAATCAGTGTTTCGGAAGGTACACACCTGATTGTGGGTTAATGACTGAAATATGAAGAAATGATAATAAATAATAATAAAAAAAAAAATGAAGGTTTTAAAATAAAAAATGAATTATATAAGAAAAAATAATAATTTTGGATATGAATTTCTTCTTCTTCTTCTTTTTTCACTTTTTAAAACCTTTTTATTTTTAATATCTTTTTATTTTAGTCTTTGACCTCCTATACTACAATGTAATAGAGTCAGTAGTACACAAAAAAATATTTAAACAAATTAGTACAATTTATCTTTTATATGTATACTAGTTTTTCTACGCGCTTTGCGCGAATAGGATAATGCCCAATACTTATTTTTAAATAAGTATTTCAAAGTATATTAATGAAATATTATATAGAAGATGTTCATGCATAAGTAAATAAATGTTGATTTTGTTTATTTAAATCGGTAATTTAAAGTATATAAATGCAAGATAATATATGAGATGTTGATTATATATAACTGTCACAAAAATAAATGTTTGCAACTTTATAATAACGCTAATCTAAGTACTAAGTCTAAAAGCGATAGTCTAAATAAATACTCTTTTTGGTTTAAATTTTTCTAATTCTCTTTTGGGTAGCATTGTTATTGTTTTCATCTTCAGTACATGTCTTTATTTTATTTATTTATTTATTTTGTTATTGGTAGTGTGTCATGTGCAATTGGGTTATTGGTGGTATCATAGAAGGATTCATCATGCAATGAGATTATGGAGTATGAAGTTTTAGATTTGTTTTGTTGTGTATATGACGAGATCTTAGTTGTGCTATGAACAATTTATCTCACAAACACATGTTGATATGTGTTGTGAGACATCTAATTCTAAATTAATTAAATGCGTATGTATTTTTTTTTTGTTGTAGTTACTAATTTATTTTTTAATTTAAGTAATAAGAGCAATAAAGTGGGCAAATTATGTTGTGGAACCGTGTCCACCTTGCAAGGTGGACACGGTTCTAAAATTGTCCATAATTATAAACATATAGTTCTATAATTATGAACATAGAGTTGTGAACATAATTATGAACATATAGTTTTGTAATTATGAATATAGAGATTCAATACTTGTGAATATGAAGTTAAAAAATTATGAATATATACCTTTATAATTATGAACATATAGTTCAGTAATTATGAACATAGAGTTCTGTAATTGTGAATATAGAGTTCAATAATTATGAATATGAAGTTCAGTAATTATGAACATAGAGTTCAGTACATTTTTTTTTTTTATTGGTAGTGTGTCATGTGCAATTAGGTCACTGGTAGAAGCATAGATGGATTCATCATGCAATGAGATTAGGGTGTATGAAGTTTTAGATTTGTCTTGCTGTGTATATGACTGAGATTTTAGTTGTAATATGAACTCTTTAACGTACAAACACCTATTGATATTTAGTAGTAATAGTTTTTTCCCTACATGTTTCATGTGTTGTGAGATTTGTGTCGTAGGTAATCATGTGAAAGTATTGAACAAAATATTAATATTTATTATATTTGTATAAAATACTTGATAAATAAATAAATAAATAACATATTTATTTATCAAGTATTTTATACAAATATAATATTCATAATTCATAATATATGTTTAATTAACAATTATGCCAACTCTACTTGGGATGGGGTTCGAACCTCAAACCTTATATAAATTAAGAGTATGTTAAGAATAATAAATAGTTAACGGAATATTCCGTTACTAAAGTTTAAACTAACGGAATTTAGGGTTATTTAAGGAAAAAAAATATAATAGAGGGTAAATAAGGAAAATCATTAAAAGATACTAAAATCAAAATAATATGAACCATTCATTTTAAGAAACAATTAGTACCGACATTTTTTTTGTTCCAGTTAAGGGCCTAACATTATTCGCTCTTATTAAATTTGTAGATACATATTCAAATTTCTATATGAGTTTCTCTCATCGGAAACAAATGAAGAAAATCATATTACATTTATTTTAACTTTTGGGAACGATTCACAATTGAGCTATCACCACTCCAACCATGTGATTTTTTTTTGCGAGTAATGCAATATTTGTTCATAACTACTTATCAACCTACTTTATCGATACTGGATACTTTTTCAATCTATTAAAACATAAAGAATCAATATTGTTTCATTGAAGTTCAAATGTGAATAATCACTTAATACCACTAGATCACAAAGTAATTAACATAGGTGACCATTTATGAATATTTATTGTTTTCTTTGTACTGGTGGGAGTGATGTGATAGGATTCAATGAGTTAGTTGGATTAAATATTATTTCAAAGGTTTCAAAAATAATTTAACATAGGCACTGGGGTTATCCCCAGTCCTTTGGATCCAAACAAAAAAAATATTTTAAAAATAATTTATTAAAATAGTGTATAAATTATTCTCTTTTTCATATTTTATATGTCTGATTCAGTTAATAACACTTGACGGGAATTATTTTTAATCTATTAATATACAAAATTTATGTATTTAGAAACTATACTAAATGTATTATTAAATACACAAAATTAAATTTAAAAAAAAATACTAATAAATAAAATAAATAAGACAAAAAAGAGTTGGTTTGATCAATGAATAATAAATAAGACACATAAAATAGGACAGAGTGATACTATTTCTCAATTTTATAATTTGAACGAAACACATACTATTTTTTTTTATATTATTTTTTTTAACTCATCCAAATTAATCATGTTTAGTGGCACTCAAATTCACAAACTTCTATTTAAGTTTAAGAAAATTTGCATTATTTCATCCACATTATAATGTGTCAATTCACTATTATATTTTATTTATACCATTACAAAGCTAATCCGTTCTTAGTAGTATTCATAAAGTAAGATTCAAAAATTTTTAACATGAAATTCTATTTACCATAATCAAACCTTCAACGCTGCAATGACATGCCATTATTATATTTAATTTTTGTATACATCAAAGAGTTTCAAAGTGAAATTAGTAAGGTGTGAAAAAAAAAGAAGGTGAAATTAGTAAAAAGGAAGATTTCTAAACTTGAAAATATCAATTTACGAAAATGAAAAATAAAAATTGTCAAAGAAAATCCAAATCCTTGTGGGATTAATTGATTGCCAAAATTTCTTATTTAGAGTGTGTTTGGTAAATAACTATTAGCTGATTAAGTTAGTAAATTTAACTAATTGATAATATTAGTTGACTGTAATAAATTGTTTCGTAAATTAACTGTTAGCTGATTAAATGTAAAATTATTTTATATAAAAGTTAATTGATAAAGTTGTTTTGAGCAGTTTTTTAAATTTTAGTATTTTGAAACAATAAACTATTTGAATGTTGCTCAAAAAAAAAAAACTATTTGAACGTTCCTACTTCAGTGGAGGTGTTATTAACATGACGTTTGGTTCACTGTAATTTAGCTGTAGTTGAATTGTAATTCAGTAGATGTCTCAATTACATTGTTTGGTTTGAGGAAATTGCAATTCCACATAATTGGAATTCCCTCCCCATGAATTGCAATTCAATGAATTTGAGAAAGGAAAAACATATGAAATGACATTACTACCCTTGATTGTTATTACTATTATTATTACACAAGAGTATTTTAGTCTTTATACCACTTAATTCCTTCTCAGTTCTAATAATTCTATTTCTCCCTATCAAACAACGTAATTTGAATTCATACTTTATTCTTTTCCCACCGAATTACAATTTATTTTCCCGCTAATTCCTTCTTTCTAATCAAACGTCCCGTTAATTCTCTGTGCTAAATAATTAATAATAGTCGAATAAATCAAAATTAGTTGAAAAGTTAACTATTATTATTGCCTAATCTTTTTGATATCTTCTTCAATTCCTCTGGAGTCACTGTCAATCTACTGAATTCCTCTAAGACATTTGGTCCCAATAAGCACAGCACATGTTTCTCATCTTCCTTGGCTCGCCACACTCTTAGGAAACTCAGTTTTTACACCACAAAGAGAGAACAAAAAAAACACACAAACGTTCCTCACTTTCTCTCTCTCTTTGGGGGTTTCCATTTTTGTCTCCCAGGAATGGGTTGGGTGTGGCAGTTTCTGTTGATTGGGTTACTGTTTCAGACACCCTTTGGCACATCCTCGTCAATCTCCGACCTGTTTGACGATTGGTGCCGGCAGCATGGGAGAGCGTACTCCTCGGATCAAGAAAGGCAGCACAGGCTGGGTGTGTTCGAGGATAACTATGTTTATGTCGTGAAGCACAACGGCGCCGGGAATTCCAGCTATACCCTTGCCCTCAATGCCTTCGCGGATCTCACCCACGATGAGTTCAAGGCGGCTTACCTGGGGCTCTCGGCTTCTGGGAAGGATGGGTTGATCAGATTGAACCGAGGGTCGGATTCTGGGTCCAATGTTGTCGGAGATTCTGATGTTCCTGCTTCCTTGGATTGGAGGGCTAAAGGAGCTGTGACAGAGGTGAAAGATCAAGGCAGTTGTGGTATGTTGGTATTTTTCACATGAATCTATAAAGCAAATTTCTTTTTTTGTTCACTGCGTCCACACTGTTTGAGCATATAACCATTAATGTGCAATCCAACTATCAGCTTAGACTTTTAGTTGAATTGGAGCCCATGCTTTAATTTGGTATAATCTCTACGATTGGGGTTGTCCCAATAAATGAGTGTTGAGCAGTTTGCATTTGCTGAAAAAGATTAGAGCTTTATGTAGTGTGTTTTGAGATTTTCATATCTGCTGAAAAGATTTGGACATTATTTTGGGCATAAAACATGATGTGTTGCCTTTTGAGAATTGCTTTTGTTGATTGAGAATTAGATTAGAGTGTGCCAAAAATGGAAAATGTTAATTAGATATCTCGGTTGTGGTTCTGTTACTGAGAGTATACTTTAGACACCTCTGCTCGCAATAGCTGTCAATTACATACATTTAAGGTGATATATGATTGGAATGGTAACGAATGATTCTGCAGCGGTGCAGAATGCAGCATTTAAGATAAGTTTAGACGATGCAAGTAGTAATGCAGATATGGAATATGGTTATATAAAGCCCCAAAGGCACCAAGCAAGAATTGTTTGCTCCAAATGTTGATTTGAACTCCGAAGATCTGTGTTTAGCGCACTAGCGCTTAGGGCATAAGATTTTCTGCATTGCGGAATCAATGTTTGGTGGATTTGAAGGTTTTTTGGTTTCGTTATTTTTAGTTTTCCTAATTGTCATCTTTAAGTTTTTGTCTGTAATAAGTACCGACTTAGTGCTCAAAAAACTGTTATTAATGTCTATACTTGAGCTGCACTGCTGTTGTTCAAGCTGACTCGATGTTTTTTTTATTTTTTTTATTTTTAATCTCTAGGTGCATGTTGGTCATTCTCGGCCACGGGTGCAATAGAGGGTATTAACCAAATTGTGACGGGATCTCTTATTAGCCTGTCTGAACAAGAGTTAATTGACTGTGACAAAACGTATAATAGTGGCTGCAATGGTGGGTTGATGGACTATGCATATGAATTCGTGGTTAAAAATAAAGGTATCGACACTGAAGATGATTACTCCTATAAGGGTAAAGATAATAAGTGCAACAACGATAAGGTACATGGTTCTTTTCTTGATATCTTTCCTTTTTTTTCTGATCCATTTTTGTTCATATTATTTCCGTCAGTTTCATGTTTTTAATGTTATGCAGAGATAAGAATAACCTGAATTCAATATAAAGCATTTGGTGAAACATATTCATCCTCTCTAATCTTCAGTGAGCTTACGTTGCAGTTGAAAAAACATGTTGTGACCATTGATGGATATACGGATGTACCCACAGGCAATGAGAAGAAACTACTACAAGCGGTCGCCTCTCAGCCTGTGAGCGTTGGTATATGTGGCAGCGAGAAAGCGTTTCAGTTGTATTCTGGGGTTGGTTCCCGTAAAAAAGTTCTGTTGTCCGTTTTCATTGAAAATTTTTGTTAAGCAAATTCCGTAATGCCATGTGGTTTATTTTCAGGGGATATTCACCGGGCCATGTTCAACAGATTTAGATCATGCCGTATTGATTGTGGGGTACGACTCTAAGGATGGCGTTGATTATTGGATTGTAAAAAACTCGTGGGGAACGAGTTGGGGAATCAAGGGTTACATGTACATGCAACGTAACACTGGCACTCCGGAAGGGATGTGTGGGATCAACACGCTCGCTTCGTACCCAATTAAGACGAGCCCTAATCCTCCTAGCCCCGGCCCTGGTCCTACTAAATGCAGCATCTTCACCTTCTGCGACAGCGGTGAAACCTGCTGCTGCGCTTGGAGAGTTTTAGGCGTATGCTTTTCGTGGAAATGTTGTGCATCCAATTCGGGTGTTTGCTGCTCCGATGGTAGACATTGTTGCCCCAGCGACTACCCTATCTGCGATACAACTAGGAATCTCTGCCTCAAGGTCGGTCCCCTATTCCCTAACCTCCCATATCTCGTATCCTATATATTTTATCTGTTATCCTCGCTTTGACAATGGCTATCGTAACTTGGCTTTCAGCAAAATGGCAATGTCACACTAGCGCTACGACATGGGATGGGCAGGCCTTCGAGCATCAAGGAGTATTGAATGAACCCACGCCTCGATTCATCAACATCAGATGAATCTAGTTGTAGTGTAGCAATAACCCAAAAAAAATGGCAGCTTTAAGTTACAGAACACTGGGGTGCATACTAATGAGGAGATTGTAAGTTATTGTGAGAAGATTGGGAAAAAACATGTGATATAAGACTTTCAGACTTGAGTCACACAGGTTCTTGTAGGATACAGATAAGGAATATTCTTAGTTAAGGTATTGAGGTATCAAAAGTCTTGATATGTTGTGATCATCACATTTTCCTCTCCACATCACTCTCTGATTTGTCATGCACTGATCTGCAAAAGAATTGGTGAAAACATTTTTAAATAATTTGTGTTTATTTCATTAATTCAAAGTTCTTGTAGGTACTGCCAATGTATATACATAAGATATATATATTCTCCTTGTGCCAATGTACATCTGCAACCATGTATTGATATCAAGTTGGGCTCTTGACTATAGCTGTCTCTCATCAGTATTAGGAAGTCCTCTATTTGGTCTGTGATTTAGGAATGGAACTAGGAATCAAGAGCATGGTGTTTTTATTAAATATGATATGTATTGAAGATGCATAGGTATAAATGGTTATAAACATCCCAGAAATGCTGATCCTTTTTAGATTCAATTTAATATTAATTAGTTGAACTTAAAATGATGTCTCTGCTATTCAATTTTTTTAACATGTGAGGGTGTGAGGCCGTGAGGGTAAACCCGCATTGTGATCCTATCCGGTTTGAGGGTTTGTACTGGGTAAAATCACGTATTGTGACCCTACCGACAAAGGACTAGTTGGCTTGAGGGTTTGAGCATTAGAGAAGAGGATTTCTTGAAGTAAATAGTGTTTAAGATCTTTGTGATATGTCTTAGGAATGTGTTTCTGTCAAAATATTGGGTACTGTGTTGTGCTCTTTTAGTTGAAATGAATTTGGTTTTGAAGGTCCATATAACACTAGGGGATTAGGAAGGGAAAGGTGTGATTATCTTTGGTTACACTCGAAGAACTTGGCTCGAAAACGGTGGTTTATTGGACTGAGAATAAAAATGACACGAAATTTAGGTCAATTGAAATATGAAGTGACTATTAATAATTGACTGAAAATGAAAAATGATTCTAAACTGACTCAGTACATTAAAAGAATATTAATCTCGGTTATATATTTTATAAAATGTAAAGTTATTGGAAATATATAAAAAATATGTATATATATCATAGTGGAATATAGTTATGTAAAGATATATATTTAATAGTATAGTATTATATTATTATTATTATTATTATTATTATTATTATTATTATTATTATTATTATTATTATTATTATAATAGTAAATAGTAATTATAGTAATAATAATTCGTTAAGGCTAATAGGGATGCATGATTTCGCGTTTCTGTATATGAAAAATTCGTTCTGTATGTGAATTATTATTACTATAATAATTACAATAATCTATATATATATATATATATATATATATATATATATATATATATATATATATATATATATATATATATATACATGAATCTATTTATAAATTAATATGAATACAACAACAACAACATTATATTCTTCTT